TAATTCCAGAAGACAGTGCACTTCCGTACTACGCACAGCGCAGCTTCCCGAGCTGAGAGTTTTGGAATACTGTGTCCCGTATAATATAAATAACACTCCAAAACATCTTGATTCTAAGGCAATTGTTCTCCACACATTTCCGGTTTCGCGTAACCCACCAACGGAATTTCCATAGTTTTTTTAGTTTTCGGCATGTTAGACCGTTTATTCGCGAATGTTAACAATAGCGAAGAGTTGGAAATAATAATTACGCTAGTGCAGACTCTTAGGAAGTCTCTTTTCGACTGACCTCCAGGTTGCTGACGAAAATTGTGAGAAGTTATTTCATTAGAAGAACAAATAGGTGAGAACCACCTCCCCTATATACCTAGACAAGGGACGAACGAACAATTCGATTTCTTATTTCGTAAGTAACGTGACAATGAGTCATCGATGACCTCCGAATAGCTATGGTAATATTCATCCGTCCAACGCCGACCGACTTGAGGACTACAAAATTTCAGATTTTCAGTTTAAATGGGGAAAATGGCCGAAATTTTTGTACTCATCATTTCGAACACATTTTCGGATTTTACTTTTTCATGAAGATACCCCTAACTTGATTAGAGAAAAAAAAGAAGGGCTTGAAGAAAATTGCAATGTTTTTTTCCAAAATCGAATTCAATTAGCAAATTTTTCATGCATACCTTGAAAATTATATTAAAAAGATTCAATGCAGATTGGAGAAATTTAGAAGAACGATTCTTCTCTTCGTTTCATTGCAGAAAAAACAGTTCAATTACAAATTTTGACCGCTGCAGCTTGGCTTTTCCGGAATTTGTTTATTATTTCCGGCGTTATTCTGAATAATAGTTGTAAGGAGAAAATAATTGAAAATGAGAATTTTCATTCGTCTTAAAAGGAAGAGAATATTGTCAATTGTCATATGCTTCAATCCAGGTATAGTCCAGCTAACAAGAGAATGGTCGTGGCTAGATACCCTCACTCTTGAATTGAGGTATGGCTCAGTATCCCCCACCACTCAAATGCAATATAGCTTGGAAGCGGGCCCTGGGAGACGGCTGTATGACCTGAGAAGCCCACTGCACCGCTCCAGCGTCTGCTACCTGGCTAGAGACTGTCATAAAATCATGTGACTTTTCACCAACCTCCATAACGACGTACTGCCAGTGGGTCAAATTTTTATCTGCCCGAAAATATAAGTTAGAAATTCAGGAAAAAATCACATGATCCCATTACACGGTGCGGAATCGTTTACAAAAATTGGGAAGTCAAAATATCTGTAACTTAAGACGTTCTGTCTACGTACTGGCCAGATGTCCTAGTTCAAGGAACCGTAAAAATCAATCTTGCCACTCGCTCAGCTAAAATTAAATTAGGGACAAATGAAATTCAATTAGCTTCAGGAACAGCATGCCCTTTAACTGCCGGTTATGGTATCGACTCTGATGGCGGTTATACCTTCTGGGACCCTCTTCCCAAACAAATGGCATGTAGAGCTTGTACTTATTCAGTTCTCTATAATGGAATATCGCATAAAATGGAAACTAATAGCGAAACCTTTTACACAGTCAATTATCAAGATATAAGCTTTTCATGAAAAACTATTCGAGTAGACTACTCTTGCGGCATGCGCCTTATCAGAACGGAGCACCCTAAATTATGTGTTTCCGAAACATCAGGCCCAGACGCAGGCTCTATTTTAAATTATAATTCTATTTCTGTAGAAAACATGGACTTATTCACTTATGTCAATGCAAAATTTGTTTATGTCGAAAGACTCATCCAATCTCAAATAGAATCCCTTTACGAACACATAATGTTACAAAGATGTGCAATGGAACGTCAAATCCTGCAGAATAGTCTATCAGTTCCAACAACAATGCCTGACGAATTTGCTTATAGACTTATGAAAGGCCCTGGCTACATGGCCGTTACAGCCGGAGAAGTCGTTCACGTAGTAAAATGTATTCCAGGAGAAGTTACTGTAAGATCCCTCGAAGACTGTTACGATAATCTACCTGTCCTCAGGAACAATAAGACAATGTTTTCAACTCCCGTAACTCACATTTTAATTAATAAAGCCGTAAAAATTCCATGCAATGGACCATTGGCCCACTATTATCAATTTCAGGGAAGTTGGTACAAATTCACGCCACGCCCAGTTGAAACTATATCACTCAGTTCCCTGAGACCCTCCCAAAGCTCCACATGGAAGTATGTTAATCCAGCAAATCTTGCAACTAGCGGAATATATTCTCAAGATGATTTAGACAAAATGCACGAAAGAATTGTATCTCGTAGGGAAACACGCCCTGCGCTAGAAGAAATTGCGCAAACGATAAGTTCCGTTAATAACCGCGGTGGTAAAGGCTCAATTTATAACCTATTAGATGAGGACGCGCTTCAAAAACTCGCTGAAAACGCCTGGGATCGCACCTGGGGACGTTTCATTAAATTTGGAACCGTCAGTGCCGGTTTCCTTGGAATTTTCATCCTACTTCGCGTAGTCAAGATAATAATGAACACCATAATCCACGGAGAAACATTATTTGGAGTCTTCGGTTGGTCTCTTAAACTAATCGGAGCTGTCTGGGACTCTGTAATCAATCTCCTACTTCATTTAAGTGCCAGAGACTCCACCTCAAACCCCACCCCAACAAAGCATAAGTCAATTGAACAAATCCCTCCAACCCCTACCCCAACAGACCCTCATTCCCACGAAAAACCTCGAACTTCTCTACCACAAATAAATCTAAATCAAGAAATCGAGAACAACCCCACTAATAATGCAAATACTCGCCCACTAATCTAAATAAGGGAATAAACTCCCCATGGAAGCTTTCCTAATCCTAAAAATTCTTATACAAAACATTAATAAATATTCGTATTCGTATTCGTTTTATTCACTGATTATGAGGTACAACCTTGTTACAGCTGGGTACATATCGGATGTCAGAGAATTGAAAGTATACATAATGATAGAAATAATAAACAGTGTACAACAAGCATTTTTAAGTAGAAAGTACAAGAAATGTATCGGGGGGGAGGGAAGGTCCGTTATTCGAAGATGAGCGCTAAACTAGCGCTGAAATCAAAAGAAAATAGTTGAAACTGAAATTCAAGTTCAAAGTGGAGGTCCAGTGTGGTTGCGGATTGAAAATTGAGGCAGTAACGAGGCCTAGCAGAGCATAAAACAGGAAAAATAATATTGTAAGCTCCCTTAAATAATCACCAATAAATAAGATTAGATACTTGGAGCTAGGAGTAAAATCGTAAAGTAATCGAGAAAAAAGTAACGGTTCGTGCCTGAGTTAAAGTAATTAGTGATGAGATTGACCTTATCAAAGCGGACTAGGGAGGAAGAACCGACATCGGTCGGGTTCAGGATTTTGTCACGCGCTCTGAGGGCACACTTGACATACAAGAAGAGTTTCTTAGTGTCCAGCGGGTCATCTGAGTCGAGGAAGTGAATGAGGGACTGGAGATTGTCCTCGAGGTTCCTGTCAGGGTAGATATTTTTGCCTAGGAGTGACAATCAATAGGAAATATAGAGGGGACAGTCCAATAGGAAGTGGATCAAGGTCTCGGCAGAACCACTGGAGCACACCTGACAGGGCAGGGATGGGTCGATCTTGAAGAACACCTTGTTGATGCCGAAGGAGATCTCAAGGGAATTAGCAAGCCTCACTTGGGCCTTCACCCTAGTCATGGAGATCGGAGTTCGTAGACAGAGGTAATTCGCTGGGAGACCAGATAAAGTCATTGGGATCGGCAGTAGGCAAAAAGAAAATGCTACTGCTCTAGTCCGGTCAGCTTCAAGGAGATGAGCTTTCAGCTAAGACAGAACTCTAGGCCCTTCCGAAAACCAATAGGATGCCGAGGAGTCAGTGGCATCAAATTGGATGCTGAATGACTCCAAAAGACCTTGGAGCTGGAGGATGGGGTTGTATCGGCGTGCTCTGGTGAGTGACGCCCTGGAGGATGGAAGGGAGCAAGCTCGAGCCGTTGCAGCTAAGTCCATGTACCTGAGAAGACAGGCCTTGGGTAGCCTGTCACCCTTCTGCTGGAGGACACTGGTGTACCAACCCACCAGTTTGGACCCAGGGTGAGTCTGATGACCCGAAAAATCAGCTTCACTGCGCCCATCTCATGACGGAGGAGATGCCCTGGTATGCAAGGAGGAAGAAGAAGAAGCCTCTTATAGAAGCCAAGCTGAATGGTCTCCAGGCTGTCGGTATACTGAAGGGTCCAGGTGGGAGCGGCATAGAGCAGAGTTGAGGCAATCATGGTGTCAAATAGCTTGATTGGAGCGTCCCACGAGTCTGAGCTGGCTCTTGCCAGGATGGACATTACTGAGCCAAGGGCGATCCGAGCTTTGGCTATGGTAGCTTGGGCCGCACGGGAGCCAAGCGCCGATGAAGAGAAGACCACCCCAGGTACGTGTAGGTTGATACAACTTCGATGTCCTCGCCGTAGATTCTCAGGGGGAAGTTTGGAAGCAGTGTAGCGGGCCCGCTGAATCTGAAGACGATCAGCTTCGTCTTGGAGGCATTCACAGTTAGGAGGTTTATTTGGAAATAAGCCTCTAAGGCAGATAGAAGCCGATACATGCGCAGTTAGTTGGCAGAGAACAGGATCAATTCGTCTGCGAACAAAAGCGCCAGAACAATCCTAAAGACGTCGATGCTAGGATCGAGGTGACCTCTGCCACGCAGGAATGACTCGATGTCGGACAGAAACAGCAGGAAGAGAGTGGGACTTGGACTTTTGCCCTGCAGTACACCCTCCGTGATATCAATACTCTCAGTAAGGCGGCCGCCGGAACGTACTCTTATGGTAGCGTGGTTGTAGAGGTTACGGAGAATGTTGATAATCTTGCTGCTGACTCCCAGTTGGAAGAGTTTCTGCCACAGGAGAGGATGACTTACCGAGTCAAAGGCGCGTTTCAGGTCGACAAAAAGACCGGAAACTTTGCGGCCAGCGAGTCTCAGCTGTAGTTAGACGGTCGCCAGCGCTACAAAGATGTTATCTAGCGTAGAGCGTTCTTTGCGGAATCCAGCTTGAGCTTCCGGGTAGATGTTTGCCTCCTCCGCCCATTTGTCGAGCCTGGAGCAGAGGATCTTCGTGAAGAGTTTTGCGACGACGACCAGCGCGATCCCTCTGTAGTTCTCTGGCTTGGTCTTGTCACTCTTCTTGAAGATCATGGTCAGGATAATTTCATGCCAATAGTCAGGAACCACGCCCTCGGAAAGGATCTTGTTGAAGAGGTTGAGGAGATACAGCATACCGGCAGGAGGGAGGGCTTTGTAAAATTCTGCAGGGATGCTGTCAGAGCCCGCAGTCTTTCCACACTTCGCAGCCACCAGGACCGACTTAATCTCACCTAGTGAAATTGAACCATCAAGACGCTGGTCAGCAGAGCCACTGTAATCACCGAAGTCAACAACCCTCGAAGGGTAGACGACAGCGTAGAAGGATTGCCAGACCTCTACGTCGAGCTCTGGGGATGGAGATAGAACTGTACAGGACCGGAATGCTCTCCAGAAGTCGGACTGTGCTTTAGCATTGGCGATCCTCTCCCTGATGTCGTTGAAATACGCCTGCCTCTTGTCGTCGATGAGATCAAAGTATGTTTTCTTGATACTGCGGTAGGAGACAACAGCTGGAGATAAAAACTGGGCATTCCGGCAGGTACAAAATGAAGATTCTGTTGATTTCTTCGCAGCTAGGCATTCCCGATCGAACCACGGTTGTTTTGGATGGAAGGTGGAAGTGTTTCTCGGAGAAATGAGCATACCTGATGCTTTTGCAGCTTCATAAATCGTCTTGTGGAGGGTTTCCATCAGGAGGTTAATATCGGCCTCGGGGTTGAGCAGTAGGGAGGGGCAGTTGGTCAGGTACAAGAGGTAGTCGTCGATTCGCTTTCGGTTCCAAAGGAGGCGAGGTCTATTGAGGGGTTTCTGGGGGTTTGGGGGGGAGTGGAGGGGTCGAGAAGGTCTATGGAGGTACGGAAATGGTCCGAGGGAAGGACTGAGTGGTCAACGGAGAAGTCGTAGATTAGTTGGATGTTGCAGAGGTCTGAGAATACGAAGTCTATGGTGCTTCTTCCCCTGGGGCCAACGTAGGTGATCTGAGTTGGAGTGTCTCCAGGAGTCCTGCCGTTCAGGAGAACAAGGCCGTTATCCTGCATAAAAAGACTGATGGCAGAACCACGGGCGTTTTCTGCTGTGGAAGTGAGAGACCTTTCGGATGATAACACGGAGCCCTCGAGCAGTTCGTCGGGATAGCATCCGTCGGGACCAATCCAATCATTGAAGTCTCCACCGAGAATGAGCGGCTCACCCGTCCTGGTGTCCTCAACCTCCTCCAAGACCTACTGTAGTGCTGCAAGGACTATTCCCAAATCAGCCAGCTAAATTAGTCCAACTGAATTAGTGCAACTAAATTAGTCCAACATAGAGGTTCCTTGGGAGACCTGGAGGGAGAATGTTGGGGAATTTGGCGAAGATCTAATACTCGGAGGTGGACAGGACCTCAGTATAGAGACTGTTGTGGAAACCAATAGCGAGACCACCACTTGCACGACCGGAAGCACTTAGATCCTCTTTGGTGCCATCCACTGAGATAAAGTTGAACTCGCGAAAAAGACCTGGACAGGAGGTCAAGGGATTAAGCAGCCAAGTCTCCGTTAACCCGATGATATCGGGAAGGGAGTGGGGGAAGTATTGGTAATGGTTTTTGATGCCATGAACGTTCAAGAAGGTCAATCTCAGCAAAATTAGTTTTTTGAGGAATATTAATAAAGAAATAAAAATGAATAAACAATAAATAAATAAATAAGTAAGTAAATTGATAAACGTACGACTCAACAACGCTAATAAGTAATTAAATTTTTTTAATTTTATTGTAGTTCTCCCGTTTTCTTTCATAATCTCCCAAGTAATTATTATCAATAATACTAGACTGCACATTTGGAAGCCCAAATGTGCAGTCTAGTACGCCTTTCCCATTAACTCAATCAAGATCTGTGCCCATATTAACTTCTGTCTAAAAACTATTTCGAAACTCGAGCTAACCCCCCAAAATCCTCTAAGCCATAGAAACATTAACCCCTTAAATTTCATATAAAATTAAATAAACAAAAAAAAACAAAATCGAAACGCCGACAAATGAGAGGAATTGGAAACGAAGGAATGCACGATCAATAAAAGTGCATCCCAAAGAAAAAACAACACTTTTGAATAAATAATAGTCGAACGAACAGTTTTTTTCTTCTTTACATAATTTACGATTATTTATTCAAAAGAAATTTTGTTTACAAAATGTAATCTCATTTTTGTCCCTTCTGGCACAACTGCCCGAGGACTCGAAATTTTCGGCCCGTCGCGGGAGAACGATTCGCACCGATCCTTAGTCCAGATCCATGGGGACGCCCCACTCAACAATGGGGTTATCTCCTCCCCATCGCCTTTCTAGCATCATCCTCAGTCCCAAAAAGTCCTCAAAATATTCCCTTTCCATCACTCCAAGACATAATTGGAGGTAATCATTAGCACCAACAACCCTCTTCCGAATCCTGTGGACCTAGTGATTCTCCTCAATGTTGAAAAAGTCTTTCAGTTTCAGGTGAGGCGACTCCTATAAAAAATATATTAAAAAAATATATAAAATAAAATTTCTAGAAATTCCTCTCGAAATCTCTTCAAAATAATAAATAAATGAATAAATAAATAAATAGATAAGACAATTGCAACTACCCCGAATAAATAAACAAATAATTCCCTCGAAAAGAAAAAATCTATATTGCAACTACTCCGACTAAACAATAACAACTAAAAAACTCCCCATAAATTTACGAAATTAACAAACAACATAAAAACTCACCAATCCTCCTAGGGCGTGCTGACCAACCATTGCAATCTGAATGGTCTGAACAATCAAACGAACTGTTTAAATTCGTCGAAGATCCGCAAGTCTCAACGGATGCTGCAAAAAAGGCACCCCACGACGTGAAAATGCCACATATCGAAGGCAACCGGTCGCCAAATCACGTAAACGTTCCCTCTAATCACTCAATCTCCTGACCTAGAATCAAACAATAAACAAACGAATTTTAATTAATAAATAAATAAATAAAAACTTCCCAAAACACCCCAACTAAAACTCCCAACTCAACAAACTAATAAAACATAACATCTTAACTCCCTAATTTCAATCGATCTATCTCTCTCTCCTCCGTATAAAAACCCAAACAAAAAAAAAGAAAGAAAAATTCTCTCAAACTACCTAAATAAAACGAATATATATAAATGATAACAAATTCTAAAATTCACTTACCCTCTTTCTCAAATAAGCAGGCCCAATCTCCCCTGCACGAGCAAGGAACCTTCTCATCATTCCCCTATCCTGAGTCATGGTCTCTCAAATGAAATTTAAAAAAAAAATCAAAATCCCACAAAACTTAATCCTCTTGGACACTTTCACTTCTCTCGAAGATACACTTGGACTTACTTGTTCAAATTCCACGAAGGGAATGATTTAAACTCGGAAAAAAGTTTTCCTCCAAGCGAAAAATCACCCCACCCTGCGAAAATCCTGAGAAAGTCCTAACCCCTGGTCACTTCCGGACCAATAACAGGAAGGTACGGCCCTTCCGCTACCTAAAAAACCATCGTCATAGGCCAAAGCCCGACCGCTCTCGCTTTTTGACCTATGCGCCCCGAAACTATAGCCAATATTAGCCAAACTTATAGTTTTCAGTAGATCCTTTTCGAAAATTCACTAAAAACTCTTATTACAAGTTCGTACGATACAAATAACTAAGTTAATCATTAAGATAACAATTAAACGATCCATTTGAAATCCTTTATAGCAATTAATTGCAAATATTTTTACTATTGTATGAAAATCACTAAATCAATTAAAATAATGTATCCGATAAATTTTCAAACATCGAAATTTGAGAAAGAAAAAACGACGAAAATCAAATAAAAAATAATTTTCACTGTAATACCAATAATTATCATGACTAATGTATGTTTAAATTAATGTTAAGCAAACGCATATTCTAGAAATTTAACTTTTATGTCGAATAACCAAATCAAATTTTGTATTCTGCCTCATTGGCGATGCCAAAAGCGATTTTTCGCCCTCTACTGAGGGTTTTTATAACTAGCCTATGGCGCAGCCTACCAGGTGGTTGGGCGCCGGAATGTATGGTTATACGAAATTAAGATCTTTGCCTCCCATTACCCTATTATTATTGGACTTTTGTAAATATGAATATCAATCCAAAGTTCAATTTGACATTTTGTGATATTGGAGACTTACTAGGAGATACTAGGAGACCAATTCAAGCAGGAGAGGAGGTATTATTAGCTGAACACATCCTGATCTGTGATGTCAAAAGTTATAAACAGAATTACGTAGAAATTGTGTCAGCTTGTCGTCAATCGTCACATTGGAATAATTACCACGAAATAACTATAAAAATTCTGTTTGAGGAAAATAATTAGCAAATGTACTTGTCCAGCTGGCTTGGGTGAAAAATGTAAACACATTTTTGCGACACTTCTGTATATTTATCAGTAAGGAAAGTCATGTTTTTTTTTGTTTTTGATCGTTTTATCTACTTCAATACATGTACTGATCGTCAGTCATATTCGAGTATACGCAATCTGCAGTTTAAATATTGGATTTATCTAAGATTCGAGTTGACAGATTGGAGGTATTGAGCTGTACAGACTTGAAACAACAATGGGGCAGGGTGAAATCAAATGTTGATTTACCCCAGAATCAGATAGTGAATTTGGCGGAATTTTGTTGCATGAAGGTGGAGAAGGTAGAAAAAAAGTATGATCCAAACTCCCAGAATTTTTTTTTAATACGTTGATGACAGGTACGATTGTATCTCTCTCCAGTTACTTGAAACGTTTTAGCTCTTGACTACTACTCCACAATTAACATCTAATACTCATTCCTAATCAATAAATTTTCAATATAAATTATTTATAATACTGATTTCGTTTCGTAAAGTTATCTGCAGAAAAATGCAAACTGCAAACTTTCATTTTTCGGTCATGAGGCCCAAAGAGGATAGACTAAAGTAGAGGCTCAGATCCGGGGGTTTGGCCGACCCCAGCGTGAGGCTAGTACGACCCCATGGCAGAGAGGGCACTGCGGTCGATTTCGGTGTCTGGCCGAGTTCGCTATTTCGGTAACTCGACAGTATAGGTTATCTTCCAGAAGAATATCCGTGGATTTTTGGAGTGGGGTCCAAGCATGTGAGTGGGAATTACGTAGAGTGGGGGTACCCTCGGAAGGATAAACTTCTACTGGATAGCCTATAGCAGTCCCGCTGTCACTGGGATAGTTTCGGAGGGGAATTTATGTCCTCCTCGTTCTCAACATGTTCTTAATGTTTTTCAGGTGATTCATTTGCTGGCTAATTAATATTAAGGAATGAAACACAGACGGTGTGATGGAGAATTAAATTCCCCATCAATCGATCCCTGTTGCATCCCTTAATCTCTGTAACAGAAAAATACAAACCACGACAAAAGTCATGGGCCAGTGAGAAAAATAATTTTCTTCTTGGCGCATAGTGACTTTTCACCATTCGCCTGCGAATTAAAAATTTGTCTTTTCCCTCCTAATTGAAATTAAGAGATGAAAGAAAGGCTGTTTGACGGATAACTAAATTACCCATCAATTGACCCTCTTTCATCCCTTAATCTCCGTAAAAAATGGAAGAAATTGTCATGAAAATCACAGCGCAGTAAGAAAAATAATTGTTTTGCGGCGCGCAGTGACTCCCGGTAATTAAAAATTCACCTCTCCCCTCCTAATTGAGATTAAGTGATGAAAAGAAGGTAGTTCGACGGAGCATTAAATTCTCCATTAACTAACCCTCTTTCATCTCTTAATCTCTGTAACATAAAAATATAAACTGCCATGAAAGTCCTGGGCCAGTGAGAAAAATTATAGTTTCGCGGCGCAGTGACTCCCGGTAATTAAAAATGGACCTCTCCCCTCCTAATTGAGATTAAGGGATGAAAAAAGGGCAGTTCGACGGAGAATTGATGGAGAATTTAATTCTCCGTCGAACTGCCCTTTTTTCATCCCTTGATCTCAATTAGGAGGGGAGAAGTGAATTTTTAATTACCGGGAGTCACTGTGCGCCGCAAAACAATTATTTTTCTTACTGCGCTGTGATTTCCATGACAGTTTCTTCCATTTTTTACCGAGATTAAGGGATGAAAGAAGGTTAATTGATGGGTAATTTAGGTCTCCGTCAAACAGTTTTTTTTCATCCCTTAATTTCAATTGGGAGGGGAGAGACAAATTTTTAATTCGCGGGCGAATGGTGAAAAGTCACTGTGCGCCGCGAAACAATTATTTTTCTTACTGGCCCATGAATTTCATGGCAGTTAATATTTTTTGTTACAGAGATTAAGAGATGAAAGAGGGTTAATTGATGGGGAATTTAATTCTCCGTCGAACTGCCCTTTTTTCATCCCTTAATCTCAATTAGGAGGGGAGAGGTGAATTTTTAATTACCGGGAGTCACTGTGCGCCACAAAACAATTATTTTTCTTACTGCGCTGTGATTTCCATGACAGCTCCTTCCATTTTTTACAGAGATTAGGGGATGAAAGAAGGTTAATTGATGGGTAATTTAGGTCTCCGTCAAACAGCTTTTGTTTCATCCCTTAATTTCNATTATTGTTATTAATCATCATTGTTCTTATTCATCATCATTCCATCCAATTTCACCAAGACTTTTGATTAGAACGTGGACATTTTCGTATTCATTAGAATGAAGTTATCTTACCATGATGTTGTTCTCAATTTTCATTAATGGCAGTATACTTTTCACGTTCAGCTCTAATAATAAATTATAAAAGTCAATTACGAAGTGAAAAAGGTGTCATTATTGAAAGAAAAAACTTTCCTGCGGGGTTTAACTGGTTCAAAAATAGTATCTGGCGTCTAACTCCATCACCCACCGACCACCACCTCCTCCTCCATCATTCTCACCCCTCCTATTCAGTGATGAATTTTGGAAAATTTTATTCGTGAGAAAAAAAAAACTTTTTTTTAGGGGTCCATTTTGCCCCCAGGGGTCCGTTTTGCCCCCCGGTCCGTTTTGCCCCCTTGGTCCGTTTTGCCCCCCCAACCCCTACACACAAAATAATTGTTTCTGAAAAGTTATACACAATTTTTTTTTGCACATCAGAAATGAATTTCAGTTTTGCATTTCTTTCTGTCAGAATATGCACTGGTGTATAATTTTTGTACACACAATTGTTATTTCATGAATAAAAGCACAAAAAATCGTACACAAAATATTGTGCACGTAATATCGTGCACGAAATATCGGGCGCACAATATTGTGTATGTAATATCGTACACATATAATTTAACTTTTATATTTGGCGATGTAAGACAGTTTCGGTTTTTTTTGACCAATCGACGACGATTGTGATAGAGGTTCCGCCTGATATTCACGCTCATCATTAATATTATCATCATTATCATTATTGGAGGCCACCCAGCAGGCGAAGAAAAGACCTTATAATTATCTACAGAAGTGCTCCTTCATACCGTGAAGGTATGCAGCTACTGTAGTTCAGAATCATGATCTCTAAGAAGACAAAGAGAATGGAGTATGACCGTTTTCTGCATCTGTTCACACGCTATCAAGAATTTTCATCTCAGCTACAAAAGACTTCTTTATTTCTTCCAAGTTAACGAGGTAAGGACCACTACTCGAAACCTAAGATAAGGGTGAAATCAGTCTCTCGACAGGATAAAATCTACTTGTCATCAGAGTAAAATTTGCCCGTCCACATGNCTCGACAGGGTAAAATCTACTTGTCATCAGAGTAAAATTTGCCCGTCCACATGGTAAAATCGAATCGTGGTAAGGGGAGAATTTCCAGAGTTTTTTGCGTGATATTACGACTTCCCACCGACCATCATTCCAGCAACTTTAGTTCAATAAAACATGTTCATATTCGTCCCTTTCCTTGGGAATGTTCTGCTGAATATTCATCAGGAATCAAATATTAATCGCTATACTCTATCGATGCAGTGATTATGTTATATTGAGAACAACCTGCGAGGTTTTTCCGTCATTCGATCAATATGCTATTGATAATACCTAATTACGGATTGTTTCCAAAAGGAGGTAAGAAGCATCGCTAAAGGGCAACAATAGTTATATCATTTGTTTTCAACACGCGTCGAGTTGAAGAGCGAAGTATTGAAGTATCGCAATGTAAGCTAAAGTCAAGGTCATTGATAAATAATTCATAATAATCCTAACGCGGTCATCAATATCAAATCACAAAACACAAATACAAGTGGCAGAAATGTACTTCTATGAAAAGGCAATGATGTTATTTTGAATCTGATGAGAGAACTTCTTATTGAATAGATCGAAATTGAATCTTAAATTGAAAAGAAAAATATAAAGAATAATGACTAAGACATTAAATGCCAGGTCCTCGTTTAAGGGAATTTAATCAAGAAATATAATTGGTGAACATCAAAAAGCAAGAAGAAACACATCATTGTACATTTTAAATAAGTGATAAATGAATTTGGAATTAATTTCTATTATATGAAGGGAGGAAATTCATCATCTTCCTCATTTCTCTCTTCCGCTATATCTCTGAGCACGTGCGCGTACCACTCTCGCTGAATTTCGTCAACCACTCCGGTATTCCACTTCTCGCCACCCATTCCACTTTCCGGTAAATAGCTTTCGATATTTCCTCTGCAGAATGGACAATATCTCGTAATCAGCTTTTTATGCATGCAACACAGAGACGGTGATTGCAGGGTTTCAGTCGTTGAAGGGTCTTTTTCTCGTCACATACACCGCATTCTGTTTAAAAAATAGGGGTGAGGTTAGTTCATCACATATGTCATATTAAAAAAAAATTATCAAAGTTGCCTGGAATTGATTTGGAGTTACTGGAGAATACTAGGATTACTGTAAGTCGCTACTATATCGATCTATACAAGAATATTATGCACGACCCTGTTTCTAGATGTTCGTACTTCTACTGATAAATAGTGTTGATGCAAGTGGAAAGATCAGGATTGGAAATGGAGACGTGTCTAGAAGGAAAATCGACTAAGAGAAGACTTGGCGTCTTTATCTAAAACCATCTTAGGTTTTGACAGTTTTGGCGTATTATCATGAAACACCTGATTTGCCGTCGAGAAGTATCCCATGAGAAAGTTTGCATATTCCATTTACCAGGGACCACTGCTGATACATTGAAAACCTTACATAATAAGAGCATCAAAATGAGCTGAATGAGTCGCACCAACTTTTCAGAACAGAGGGCGGTGCAGCCGCCCGAGGACTAGCGTAGTCGTCCGATGCACATAGCCGCCTGATTTTTCCACGAGTAGCATATATTATTTTCTATCACGAGTTTCCCCTGGCACTTCTGATCTGTCATGCTACACTAAAGCCGCCCGATCATACGCAGAAGTGACATAAAAATATATTAAATGCAGCCGACGTACTGTTGCTCAAGTGAATAGATGCAAGTCTGCTTCACGGACANGTCGTTGAAGGGTCTTTTTCTCGTCACATACACCGCATTCTGTTTAAAAAATAGGGGTGAGGTTAGTTCATCACATATGTCATATTAAAAAAAAATTATCAAAGTTGCCTGGAATTGATTTGGAGTTACTGGAGAATACTAGGATTACTGTAAGTCGCTACTATATCGATCTATACAAGAATATTATGCACGACCCTGTTTCGAGATGTTCGTACTTCTACTGATAAATAGTGTTGATGCAAGTGGAAAGATCAGGATTGGAAATGGAGACGTGTCTAGAAGGAAAATCGACTAAGAGAAGACTTGGCGTCTTTATCTAAAACCATCTTAGGTTTTGACAGTTTTGGCGTATTATCATGAAACACCTGATTTGCCGTCGAGAAGTATCCCATGAGAAAGTTTGCATATTCCATTTACCAGGGACCACTGCTGATACATTGAAAACCTTACATAATAAGAGCATCAAAATGAGCTGAATGAGTCGCACCAACTTTTCAGAACAGAGGGCGGTGCAGCCGCCCGAGGACTAGCGTAGTCGTCCGATGCACATAGCCGCCTGATTTTTCCACGAGTAGCATATATTATTTTCTATCACGAGTTTCCCCTGGCACTTCTGATCTGTCATGCTACACTAAAGCCGCCCGATCATACGCAGAAGTGACATAAAAATATATTAAATGCAGCCGACGTACTGTTGCTCAAGTGAATAGATGCAAGTCTGCTTCACGGACAATCTGAGTTCGATTCCTCGCTCGGGTGAATTCTTCAGTGATATTTTTTATTGTAGGATTCACATGCGGAGTTTTGTCTTTTGCCCAATCGGCATCAGCATAGGTTTTCTGTGGTTTCTTATGTCACTCCCTTCAGAGAGGGCATTGAAGCAGCGCATCGTAGAAACTGGCCACAGATTCAACCACCCGGCAGGGGAGAAGGTCAATAATTCAGTAACGGCCATAATAAAAATAAATAAATAATATACATCCACTGTTTATTCACGTNAACATATCGAATTCTTTGATGTCTAGATGAGATTGAAAACTGTATTAACCAGTCTTACTTCAATAGATTCGTTTAAGATTTTTAAAGAAAGACTATCCCTTTATTTGGGAGTGTCCAAATGAAGCATATATTCTGCAATATACCTGCGATTATGACACTTGCCCTATATGGGATATAGCCATTCAGGAGAAAAAAAATATACCTGCGAGAACGAGTATTTCGTTAATAAAAGTAATTGGAGAGACAACGATTTTTTCCTCATGTATTGCGAACATCCATGAAAGTAGCTCGCCGTCGCGCACTAATCATTCAGAGATGAACGTAATTGTAAGTTTTCCTCACACTTACGAATATCAGTGGAAGTCGGTGCACTCATACTTCACTGATGATCGTAAGTACAAGTATGCAATCCCTCTCTTTGCTTCAAACTACTTTATTTTATGAAATGCTCGCTCTGAGTCCGATAATTTGTTGAAGTCTCAGAGTCCTAGGAGTTAAGTGCACAAACAGAATTTAAGTCACGCTTAATATTTGAAAGTAAGTGTAAACGTGGCGAGCCTTTCTTCCTTTTTTCACACATTGCGGACACCGATGGAAGCAGTGCACTGTCGCGCACTAACGTTGCACCGATGAACGTAATTGTAAGTTTTCCTCACACTTGCAAACACCAGCGAGAGTTGGCGGTGCACATTCGCGCACTCATACTTCTCTGATGATCACAAGTGTAAGTACGGAATGTACTTTAAAGAAAAAATTTCATTTGAATTATTCTTTAAGACTTATATTCGGTTCTAGCCATAAGCTTCGATAAGTCTACGATCACTGAAAGTCAACGGTAGAGATAAAATTTGAAGCACGCTCCGCAATATAACCGCGCATATTAGTATTTGGCTATGGAGACTAAGAGTGAACTTGGTGAACCCTTCCTCACACATTGCGGACACCGATGGAAGCAGTGCACTGTCGCGCACTAACGTTGCACCGATGAACGTAATTGTAAGTTTTCCTCACACTTGCAAACACCAGCGAGAGTTGGCGGTGCACATTCGCGCACTCATACTTCTCTGATGAGCATAAGTGTAAGTACGGAATGTACTTTAAAGAAAAAATTTCATTTGAATTATTCTTTGAGACTTATATTCGGTTCTAGCTATAAGCTTCGATAAGTCTACGATCACTGAAAGTCCACGGTAGAGATAAAATTTGAAGTACGCTCCGCAATATAACCGCGCATATTAGTATTTCGCTACGGAGACTACGACTGAACTTGGTGAACCCTTCCTCACACATTGCGGACACCGATGGAAGCAGTGCACTGTCGCGCACTAACGTTGCACCGATGAACGTAATTGTAAGTTTTCCTCACACTTACAAACACCAGCGAGAGTTGGCGGTGCACATTCGCGCACTCATACTTCTCTGATGATCACAAGTGTAAGTACGGAATGTACTTTGAAGAAAAAATTTCATTTCAATTATTCTTTGAGACTTATATTCGGTTCTAGCCATAACCTTTGATAAGTCTACGATCACTGAAAGTCAACGGTAGAGATAAAATTTGAAGCACGCTCGGCAGTATAACCGCGCATATTAGTATTTCGCTATGGAGACTAAGAGTGAACTTGGTGAACCCTTCCTCACACATTGCGGACACCGATGGAAGCAGTGCACTGTCGCGCACTAACGTTGCACCGATGAACGTAATTGTAAGTTTTCCTCACACTTACAAACACCAGCGAGAGTTGGCGGTGCACATTCGCGCACTCATACTTCACTGATGATCGCAAGTGTAAGTACGAAATGACTAGCTTCGTTCTGAGTCAATAGTTTTATTCTATAAATTCTTTTACGACTAGAGATACCAAAGCGCGTTTGATGCGCGTTCCATAAGATTGTATATGTTTTCCCATGATATAATAAATAAACATTTGATCCACCTTCTAACTGTTCTTCAGAATTGTGATAATTTTGCTCGTGAGCGAGTAATCACAACAAATATTATACTAAAAATGCCAATTGAAATGCAAAAATCTACAATTTTTTTACGTCTCATTCCTTCGATGGATTCGATTTGGCATCTATACCCTACCGAAGGGTGCAGGTAGGTACATAGAAGTCTACGCGTTCGGCGTCCGAGGTAAACTATCGTCAAGAGGCATATTGTTTTCTCTATCATCTAGACTCCCCCTCGTCGTTCAACGAATGATTCTTAGTTCGCTGCATCATCCTGGTATCTTTCAATCTATTCCTTATGCGAGAGGCGAAGAATAAGACTAACAACGAAAAGTACGAACCACGCATGGACCATATGTAATGATACTAGTAAGATAATTATTGAAAATCATTAGCTGAATACATACATACATTGAGCACAAATAATATACTCTATGGACTTGGATGAAAACATCTGGAGAAGGTCGATTATTGGTTGTATACACCGTGTCTTTTTTTTTTTTAATTATTTACGCCCTTTCTATCCCTTGGGTTAATTGGCTATCCGTCTGTGGCCGACTTATACACTGCACCGCTTTAGATGCCCTCCCCGAAAGGAGTGACACAGGAACCACAGAAACCTATGCCGGTGCAGGCGGCTGCATTTAGTCAGAGACTTTCTATCAGCCTCCCGCTCGTACAGGGCCTGGACGGCTGGGTGCAGAAAAGAGACATCGTAGGTGAATTCCTCGGTAAATATCCCTGAAAATATTCCCCGAGAAATTCACCCGAGCCGGGTATTGAACCCAGGCCACCCGCGTGGTAGGCTAGCGCCTAACCGAGTGGACCACCGTACGTCGGTATAGACCGTGTCCCATAACCGCGGACTTTATTTAGAGGGTGAAATTTGGAGTTGAAAGTTCCTTTTCAACTTTGTTGTACGGCGCCACCCTGTCAAGTGATTCAACTTCAAAGTTGACCAATTACAGCGTAGCTCCGCCCACTGAACAAGTGGTTCTCATCTCAATCTTTTCTAAAAGAAAAAATTGTTATTTCGAAAATTTCTCTCCATTACCTAGCAGACGATGATCGAAAATGGATCAAACATCAGGATGAAGATCAGTGTCAGCTCCAGGTAGAGGATTGAGATCCAGGAACGGTTCCTGATGAAGTTCGAATTCCTGGGAATGATGCGAGTTGACATCATATTCCAGGAACTGTTTCAGGAAGAGACCGAGGTCTACGAAATGCTCCAGCTTCATCTTCATGTCCGAGGATTGGTCTAGGTGGAGGTTAATGTCCGGGATGCGTTCCAGGTGAAGTTCTAAGTCCGGAGGCTCTGCCAAGTGCAGCTCCAAGTTCGGGGACTGTTCCAGATAGTAGCCTTAGATCCAGATAGTAGCTTAAGAACTGTTCCATGTGGATGTCCAGATTCGGGAACTGTTCCCAGTCCCCAAACCTGCACGGCAACCTGGAACAGTTCTCCTACATGGACATCCACTTGGAACAGTTCCCAAAACTAGGTTACCGGTCGGAACAGTCTCCGAACCTGGAAATCTACATGGAATAGTTCCTGAACTTAAGCTACTATCTGGAACAGTCTCCGAACTTGAACAGTTCCCGATTCTAGGTTACCACCCAGAACAAAAGTTTAAGAGGAACTGTGGACTCCAAATTTCACCCTTTATCCACCCTCAAAAATAAAGTCCGTGGTCATGAGATACGGTATATATGTGGATAAATTCATCAGATACAGTGATACATGCAATTCAATATTTCACGTCCTCAATACCTGTATGTATATCATCCAATAATTTGTTCATGATTTTCTTACGATGTTGTTTTCCGCCTCGTCTGGTTTTTTTCTTTTTCCTGGGTGGTTCTTCATTCCCCTCTACCTCCATAGCTGCTCCGCGAGGTACTGCATGGTCCCGTGGTGCAATGTCCCCAAGGGCCGCTGGCTCTGGCTCTTCTGGAAGTGCATCATCAACTGGTTCTGCAGCTCTTCGCATAGGAGCTGGGAGTGTACCTTGGCGTGGATGCTCTTGGTGCCTCCTCAAAGGAACCGGTGCCTCGCCAGCTGTCACCTGAGGCTGAGGTACAATCTGTTCTGGTGGAACTAGCTGTGGGGCCGGCAGTATCTCTGCCGCTGCCATGTCGGGAACGGCCTCATCAGCTAGTTCGGCATTCAGCTGGATGGGAGCTTCCAGTGGTACTCGACGGGGACGCCCGCGAGATCTTGTCGCAGGAGCTGGTGCTACTGCAGGAACTGCGACATCAACATGTTCGGCATTCGGCTGGATGGGAGCTTGCAGTGTACCTCGGCGTGGATGTTCTTGGTGCCTCAAAGGAACCGGTGCCTCGTCAATTGCCACTCGTGGATGAGGTGCAATCTGTTCTGGTGGAACTAGTTGTGGGGCCTGCGGTATCTCTGCCGCTGCCGCTTCGGGAGCTGCCTCATCAGCTAGTTCCGCATTCAGCTGGATGGGAGCTTCCAGTGGTACTCGACGGGGACGCCCGCGAGATCTTGTCGCAGGGACTGGTGCTACTTCAGGAACTGCGACATCAGCATGTTCGGCATTCGGCTGGATGGGAGCTTGCAGTGGTGGGCGACGGCGGCGCCCTCGAGATCTTGCTGCAGGGGCTGGTGGCCCTGCTGCGGCGGCCATCACGTCGTGGTTGACGATTACGTGGTGCCATAGCTCTCTGCCGTTGCTGCTCTGCAGGTTGGGGTACCTCAGGCATGAGTTGGCGATCGATAACTACGATAATAATGAATGTTGTAGTGAATAGGGCTCTAATATTCGCACTGACTTTAAATGACGATTTTACCGGCAAACACTATTCTTCTCGTCCTAACCTGCACTTCATTTTTTAAAAAACCACCTGCGAATGGATGTGTCAAAGGTTATGCATAGATTATTGTATAAATTGTTCACACGGTGTCCCGTAACACCTCCATAGAAGGTGAAAGTTGGAGTTAAGAGGTCCTATTCCACTTTTCAATGCAATGCTTCCTGGAGAATCATCATCTCACAAAGGTTGATTAAAGAAAATGCATTGACTATGTATAATGTAAGTTCCGACTGTCACTTTAACTTGAAAGTTCCATTGAACTCTCCAATGAGATGCATATCTGAGAAGTTATAACCCTTTCCAGCTTCTCATTGGTCAGTCTCTATAACGCCATGATTTTTCAGGTATTCGTCTGGTTGGAAAGTTCCAAAGAACGTTTAAATAACAGGAAGGTAACACAACGTCATTATCAGAAAGCATAGGTATGAAATGTTGAGTCACATATTGCCTTATTGTCAGATTTGAATTTGCTAACAATCAGCTTGTCCAGTGCGCACGCGTGAAAATGTTGATTTTAGGAAGCAAACGGTTCGCCGACACACAACATACAACATACTCGTCAAATCGTATGTTGTTCATTGCAAACGATTCTTGTATTGTCTTATCATTTTTTCGCACAATAACCAATAATTCATTAAACTGTCAATAATTATTATAATCCGCCATAATTTCTGTCATTATAAGAGTCGGTTTCTGAAGTCAAATTGGAAGTAATGAATATGTATGTAGCGTCTGCTACATACACACATACAACAATACCGTGCTGAAGACTCCTCAATAATAATCACCGGAGATCGAGAGGCCAATGACACCTACAAATTTACCTCTGATTCCCTTTTCCCTCGAATTTTCGATCGTCTGTCCTTTTCCTTCTTATTGCACTGTTGTCGTCGATCCGAAAATTCGAGGAAAAGAAATGTAAGAGATAAATTGGATTAGTCTGGTTTTGGTAGCTACACAGAGAACAGCTGGTGACATATTAAATAGCCTTTCTATTTACTTCAATGACCAAAACCGTTAACTCAATTTTTATTTGAATAAACCTAATTGTTAATTATTAATTGTAAGTATTCGGTTCTTTATTTAGTTCCGTTCCCAACCAAAACACTTCATGTATAGACTGTTCAACTATTCTGTCTCTCGTGAAATTTCATCGTTATTTCCTTCTATGGGTCTCCTCAAGTGGGCTCTCCCTCGTAAATTGTTACATAATTTAGTCATATTGAAAATCAAATGAATAGTTTCGTGAATTTCATAAATTAATTGCCGCTCTACAAAATGAAAATCAATAACTTTTGAGCTTTGCCTGCCTCACATCCAAGGTCGAGTCGAGTGGACGGCCAATATTTTGAGAAAATAAGACTGAATAACGAAAAATTGAAGAAAGCAGCAGACCTTGGATGTCATTCATCATCAGTTTGACAGTCGGAATCTACCTTATAACCTTCTCGTGCTTTGCAAGACGAAGCAGGTAGTAAATGCATTTCATTGGGCGACCTTTGCAAGATAATAATACCCCCAGGAAGCATATCATCCAAAAGTGAAAAGAAAACTGCGACTCCAAATTTCATCCTCTCTCTACTTCTTTGGACAATTCATTTTCATCAAACATGAACTTCGTTGCTATGTGACACCGTATATATAAATCATGTAGATAAAGACGTATATATACTAGCGCCAGCATCAGCATCCAAATTTCTCATCAAGAAATCTTGTTCTTCTACAATTATTGGATTATTATTCACTGGCATGTGCTCTTGTTCGTCAAATAGGTACAGTACAAGTGAGATATTCAATTAGAATTACAATTTCACCTGAAAAGCAATCAAATGAAATGAAAAAATCTCTTCGATAAACCTCTCGATAAGTGAATCCTTCTCAGTTTAGCCATCTCGAACAGAAAACTCGGAACGTCATATCTAAAGATAGGAAATGCAAACATGAAGGCATCGAAGAATGATGTTGACTTGAAGCAGTACACGAAAAATCCAGTTAGTAAATTGAAGTTATAAGAAATATTTCAATTTTACCGATTTATTTCGAAATCAATTTCCAATCTGTGAATGGCCTGATCTTTCAGTTGAAGATCTAATGGCCTCCAATATCGGTGACGACCACCGGTTGTCAAGACCCGATATTCAGATATCGTATCAATGACCGTAGATAGTTTGGCTGAAAATAGCACATGGTTAGAGAGGTATAACTAGAGATGGGCAATAAGGGTCGTTTTTCAATTGACATATGACCAAACAATGGCCGTCTTGCAAAAGTCACATTACGTCACAGAATTTGTGATGGAAAATGACAGACAACTTAATTTATCACAGTCAGTCAATTAGACATTCTTGGTATGGTGCAATACATCTATATAGATGGAAAATGATCGTCATCAAAAGATTTTCATCTGTGGAGAGTATAATTTTCATAATTATTGGTCGTTATGTAATGAAATTTTGTGACGTGTCATCACACTCGTTCATCTCTAGCTATAACCCGTAAGAAATTACCGTCGTCTGTACATTATTCCCTACATAATTTCGCGCTCTACCAAGTTATGACTTGGTAAAAACTTTCTTTGTCATAATCATTACTTTTTAGTAGTACCGATTCTCACCGCTTGTTTTAATGTATCGACCCTTCATACTTTGACGAGTTAAAACTACTTATGTCACCACCATTACTACCTCGCTGGAAGTAATGAACATGAACGCTTTTTCCCTCGATCGACCCTTATTATCTTACCACAATAAACTACTTATTTTGTCATAATTACTACTTTCGACATATATGAGGATCAGTCCTTATTTTCATTGTTAATGCCGTGTGTCTGTCTACCTGTTATGACTTGGAAAAGATTTGCTTTGACATAATCATTATTTTTCAGTTGTAACGATGTTCAACCCGCGTTTTCATTTCCTGACCCTTCATGCTTTGATGAGTTAAAATTACTTATTTCATCATCACCACCACTCTTTGGGGCAATGAAGCCTAATCCTTATTTTCATCTATCAATCCTTCGCGTTTTGTCAAGTTAAATTCTCGTATTTTGTCACAATTACTATGGCTGATGTGAAGTATGCCCAACCCTTATTTTCCATTGCCAACTCTTTATAGTTTGGTGTATTAACTGGCTCATTTTGTCATCATTATTACTTTTTGCTAGTTATAATGCTCAAACGTTAATTTCATAGTCAACTCTGCATACTCTGAAGATTGACTATGAAATTATTATGACTGTTCGGTGGTAATGATTCTCCACTCTTATCTTTATCAGTCAACCCTTTCTCGCGTAGTTACCCAGTGATGATGCAAGAGCACAAGAGAAACAAAACAAGACAAGACGAATATCATATGACTTATGCCATGCCCCCGGTTGTGACGAAGGCATTAAAGCTCAAAAAAGTGCCTCGTATCACAACCCTTGGTTCACGGCTTGTCTGTGCTTCGGTAAAAACTTGTAAGATACGTGAGACTTACTATGACATCCCAAGGCTCTGTAAATGCAAAGCCTGGATTTCAGCCAGCTTACATGCAAGGTGGTCAACTCCTCGACCAGGTGTAATGAAAAAAAGTCCGCATATCTATCCATTCATAACATTGATTGAAACTATTCACTCGCACGTTGAGCCCAAGATCTAGCGCTAATACGTATCTATTATTACATATAATAATCGTCAAAAAAATTCTGGCTCGGATTCATGAATTAACGTTGTTTTCTGTACTATTCCATCTCAAAAACTGGATAGAAACGTCTATTCATGGGATAGTTCATATCTATGTGAAAATATATGGCTATGAAATATGAATTTTTTTGTGGACATTTTATGTTAATTCGCATATCTCGAAGAGTTTTCAAACTATCTCCATGAAATTTTGGTGGTATCTCTGGGTCATTGATGAGTATCTCCTGTAAAAATTTGAAGGACATCGGATATGTAGTTTTTATGATACAATGTTTTCCATATGTGGACATTGGTTGTCATGGCGCATATCTCGAGAAGTTTTCCAAATATTTGCATGAAATTTTGGTGGTATATTTTGACCATTGATAAGTATTTTTCATAAAAATTGTAGGGCTTTCGAACGTGTTGTTTTCATAATCATTTTTTTCATGTATCGAGTTTTGATGAAATGAAAGAATAATACAATTCTTCGTGGGTTTTACAGTTTTCTGTTTTATTTCACCATGGAAAGTGAATGGAATTACTATATCATATGATGAACACATGGATAAGTTCATACGATAATGTATGCTATCACACAAGACATCGATTTAAATTCGATAGAATGTTGACGAATTCATTTGTTGTTTAGCTTGGTTATACTGAATAAAAGAAAGACATTTTTCTTTTAATTAAGTTATACTTAATGAATAACCGTTCATTATACAGTTGCGTTGTTCACTGGAGTGAGATTATTCCCAAGAATGGTGTGAGATATTTTTGACGTTTATGTAAGGAATAATTTCGTTCATTGAATGCAGGGAAAAAATATCAAGTAAGGATTTTTAATGATTTTATTCATATAAATTGTCCATTCCAACATAGTCATTTTAAGAAGAGAATTCTCAATTTCAGGAATTTCGTATTGAAGAAAATTAGATAAGGAAAATGTTGCTTTCACAGGAAATGAAAGAAACCATTTTGAATGAATCAGGGCAATTAGAAGATGATCATATGGCAAAATTTTGTGAGGTTTTCCAGTACAAAACAGAAATGAGAATGCAATTACCTATACTTTAGCAAACACCTGATCTGATAAATCAGATAAATAGAGAAAATTCACACATACAAATTTTATTTGGAAATGATCAAATTGTTGAAATAATTATGGGCACTACGAAAATATCAGATGGCCATTGGTTCTGTTCATACTATCATGATAATATCATTCATATTTATGATAG